CAACTCCATCTCCACCATTGTTGTTTGGTAGCAAGCTCAGGATGGGCTCTCTTCATGTTAGCATTCTTTGGCCCTGGCTAGCCGTCAGCACAATTCCCCTCAGAACCTGTGCTATCCACGATGGAGTCACGACAGGTCCGGCCTGGGCCTGCTTCATGTCTGCAACCTGTCAGCGCATGCGAGCTCTAGTCCATAGGTCTAGCAGACCGTGCTCAGGTTGCACCAAGCCCATAGCGCGCCCCGGTGCCACAAAATTCCCGTATGACTCCGTGTGATGACTTCAGACTTTCTCATGTTTCCTACATGCTCCCCGCCCGCACCCCTCAAAAACTGCAAAATTCTCTTGCCGACGCTGACATGCAGGATCCCAGGGTCCCGGGGATAAACAGCAATAAACAGCAAGGCCATGCGCTAATATTGACTGTATGCGTGCCTTCCGGAATACAAACAAACTGCGACCATCAGCAACTGCGTGCGCTGTCAATCAGAAACGTGTTCTCTGAAACGTCGCACTAGATAAGAAAACAAAATCAAACAAAACCCATATCAAGACCTTGTAGAACCTGCAAGGAAAAACTCTTTTGCGATTTTGCGAGTCGCCGTCATGTCGACCTACTCAGAAGGACGCAGGCGGGGCGTGTATCAACAACCAAATACTACGTGGTATCCCTCCCAAGCTGCCAGCCTGGACTCCAAGCCTGAATCCTTCTAACTGTCGTCGCATTAGAAAAGCCACAGCCAGGGTCGAAATGCAACCAAATTCCGATGCCCCACGCGAGAGCATGGAACCAAGCGACGACAAATACGAAAATTGTGCAATCAAGGCCCCAACAATCCACAATGCCCGCAACTCTTGACGGAAGAGCTGTGGAATCCCGTTACGTACATAAGAACCTGCAGACCTCAGCCTTGCTTGGATGATAATTCTGAAAAAGCCATGGGCTCATGCCAATTTCGTTCTACGCGAATGGGAAGCCGGCCTCCTGCTGCTTAACCCGCTTGGCCATCTGGGCGAAGCCCAACACCTAGCACAAGAACAATGCACCGGTCAGCATAAGCGGGCTTCTGAAAGCAGTTCTCATGCCATGATAGGCCTCAGCATGGCCGAAAGCATCTAGGAGTTTTACTACAGTACCCGAAGAAGTTGGGAACAGGATGGGCTAGAGAGGCAGGGGCTCTCGCACGTCCCTGTGAAGGATTGTAGGCATTTATCGGGCATTCACATGGTATGTCTCCTCCAAACTGTGGATAAAAAGCATTTGAACCCCTGACAAGCACGAGGGCGCCTTCAGCGACGCGTGCACAGCCTGGCAAGGAAAGGAGACTCGCAGCTGTCGGGCTTTGCTTCAGTAGGTGTTGGTGCGCTTCCCTGAGCTGCAACAACCTCAGCCATGGCCCCAATCGCTCTCTAGATTAAACTGGCTTTGCCGCTTGCGCACCGGAACTAGATAATGCACAAAGAAGCCAGAAAACTTGGACGGGCTCAGGAGCAAACAAGGTAAGGCACCACCTACCTTGGTGTTCTTGCGCAAGTAGCGGAGGCTGCCGGTGGAGACCCAGCGAAGCAAAGATCGGAAGACCACCCTGAACGCAACAGTGGAAACCACTCTTCTGGTACTCTGCTAGCAGTTGTGTCGCCATGCCCAAAACTAAGATTCAACCACCGGCCTCGCGCGAAGACCATTATGTAGAGCAATCTCTGCATGTGCAAAGGACGCGAAAGGATTTGGGGGCTGGTACCGTAAAAAGATCCCAACAATGGCCATGCATGGCCATACCATCTTGGCCTGCCGTTGTTCACTGGCTAAAAAAACTACCTTGCCTGCATTTTTTTGATTAAACGCACCGAAACAATGCCTCGAGTCATAGTGTGAATAAAGAAGGAACATTGGCGAATAGCATCTGCATTATTCATGCGCGCAATGTTATCCCAACTGATGCCATCCAGGCTGCATGGGAACTGAGCTCAGCGGGCCATCCTGGCACGCGTTTGGTCAGGGCTACAGCGCTGTGGGGGCGGTTGGTTGGGGTCGGGGGATGGGGGGTGGGAGCACGCACACTCGCATAATCTCTTACAAAGGCTATCTCGCTATAGCTCAGAGCTGCTGTGCTTTAGTTCAGTCTCTGTTTTAGTCCAGTAAAGTAGAGATCTTTCGTGTAGCTGAGATGGATCCTCGATCGGGAGCCGTACCTCGGGCCAGAAAAACCATTGCAGAACTGGTGGTGGGTCTTAACTGCCTTTCTTTCCCCTTGTCTCCATCAGGGCCAAATCCTGCCTGGGTAGCTTTCAGTTAACCCAGTACAGGACTTTAGCGCTACCACCCCGCATCACCTTGCTTTTTAATCTCTCTACAGGCCAGCCAACAACCATAAGCCCTCAATCCTGGGCCCCGTTAAACTTATTCGTTCAATCTCCTCGGCTCCACGTAAATATACTTCATGTCTGGGACTATAAGAGTTTGAGTCCTCCTTCGCCAAGTCTTGGCGCTCGAGCCTCCTGGGCTATCCAGGACTTCCGGTGTTCCCAGTTTCGAACTCCAAGTTTCTGTGGATTCTGTGTTTGAGAGGTCGTGGGGTTGAGGGGCGAAGGCAGGTCCGATAAGACGTCCTTTGTGAGTGGGCGTGCTTCTAGAGCTCAAGCGTCCAGTGTACACGAGTGTCAACATGCTGCCTGATCCTGCAGGTCCCCAAAACAGAAACATACAACAACATCAGGAAATGAAGATCTGATCTGCAAGGTCACGAGACCATAGACATGCGATCAAGCCCTGTGTACTCTCGCCAAATCGGTCTCTAGCAATCGGCAAGCCTTGCAAGGGGGCTCTTAAGAACTTGTGCCCCGCTACTGTCAAGAAGTCATAATGCAAACTCTTTCGATAGCGAAGGCATGTCAATGTGAAGGCAACGAAGCTGCCTGAAGCGCTGTGGCACCCGCCGTGCCAAAGTGATCAGCGTCTCCTGGCTTTTGGCTTTTGCACAGGTTTTGAAGCTCAAGAATTTCGGGGCTTAGCAACGGGGATTTTAAGTGTTCTTTCTTTCGTTTTGTCCAAAAGGGATGGCCAATGAACACAGACACAACCATGTTCGTGCAGGACAAACATGGAGTGAAGTTTTGCCGCCAGCTTGCTGCTGAGGTTACCATACCTGATCTAGACATGATTAACGTGCATGATGCCTTCACCCCGTCTCTAGCGATGGGCTGAGACGACCCAAGGTAGTGACTTCAGGCTTGTAGACGCTGGGGCTCCTGAGGTAGTCTTGGTGCTGCAGCTTTGCCAGTAGTGTAAGGCTGCATAATGCATCTTTGCTTCATGCTCAGCTGCGCTCACACGATAATCAAGTCGCTGAACTGTTGCCAATGCCCTGCAAGGCTCCACTTTTGTTACGTTCCTTGGCCCTTCAGATTGCTCTAGCAACTGAGCAGGATTCGATATTGAATCTGGCGACGCAGCACAACTCTTTTTGCACAGCTTCCCATCTAGTGATACCGTTGTCCACTGGCCTTTTGCCTGGTCGTCGTGATGTTTTCGCATACAATGCTTACCCCTCAGACAGAGCTACAGTTCAGCATGAAGGCATCCATACAAAACATTCCCCAGCATCCGCCTTGGGCAGCGTGAGGCCCTGATGTCCAAGGCTCATGTCCTCAAGTTTGCAGCAATTCTGGGTAGATAACGTCAAAACCAACTCTGACCAAGAGAAGCTTCAATAAATCTTGACAATGGTGCTTGCCCTAAGCATCTTCCAAAACATGCGCATTGTATCGATGCTCACGAACTCCCCCTCCCCCTTCATGTTAACCCCGTGTTCCCAATCCACCCTCTGTGCCGTGCTTGCACTCAGTTCTCTATGCCGGAGCTGCCAGTCCGAGGGGCTTTGATGCGCACTCTGAGGATGGACTCGTCAGTCTTAAGGTACCACTCCTCCTGTCTGGGGGCAGGTGTGCTCTGGGCTGTGCTCGGACCTCTGAAATGCGCAGCCACACTTAGTGTTTGCTACGTCCGCATATTCTGAAAGCTACACCCGCATCAAAATCTGGACAAGGCCCAAGTCCCTGAGCGTCACGCCTTGCTGCGGGACTTCTGCGCCCACCTGAAGACAATGCCATGGGTCTCTCAGGGACCCTAGAGCTGGAATCCTGGTATTTGGAATGAAGAGCCATATCAGTTATTTGAGAGGTTTGGTTTCATAACATATGATCGAGGTTTGTGACCCTCTGCGAAAGCTTTTCAGAAGTTGTGCACAAGTACTGCAACATGCGGAGGCCACCATGTTCTAGGAAAGGTCTCCTGACCACAACACCATAACTTGCCTGATTTGAATCATAGGATGGTTTTAGGCACTTTCGATGTCCTTCCATGATCCCTCTCGCGAGGGAGGGGATGAGCAAACAAGAATCTGCAGAGCATCACAGCGCGACCGAGGCGCTTGAAAGATATCCTCTGCGCTGGAGGTGGCCGCTCCTTGACTTGGGACGAAAATTGGTCATCCCAGGGTTCAACACAGAAATCGTACCTGTTTCGAACCTTGTGCAAGCAATGCAAGCCCTATGTTGTAAATATGCAGCCGCATTTAGAACACGGGTCCGGCCAGTAATTAGTCCCCTCTTGTTACACGCATCCCGCAACAAGTAAGAAGAGCAGACACCAGTGAGCGTCATAGCATGGTGATAAACTAGCGCGCTGGCGCACCCGCTTTGGTCTGAATGGTCGGTGTTCAGGGTTTCGGCTGAAGATGTTTTGCCGAACAGACACTTCTTGTAAAATTCTGAAGTCTTGCACTCATGCGGCTTCAGTAGCCACTTCGTCTTGTGCAAGCAAGCTGCCCGAATCTCCACTTCCCAAGGAAACTCCAGGGACAAGCGGCGGACCTGACTGTCTCAGAATCTGCATGCGATTGGCTCGAAGAATGGTCTGCGTGTCATCGGCCTGGTTAACCTTCACTTGAAACATGCGCTAGGCCAGCTGCTGCAAACATATCTGATGATTTAGACCAGCCCATCATGCCCAGCCGATGACTTGGGCCAAGACTGTTAAGAAGCCCCAGTTGTAGTCGTGTGCCAAATCAATGGGACGGGCCCCAAGCCTGACGGCCTCCCGCAAAGTCCTCGCAAGTAAAGGTTTGTTGCATGGCGCAAATCATTGCATGTGTTCTTGACATGTACTTGTTGTTGTTTCTAAGCGCCCCAACAACATGATGTCGATGATGCGCCATCAACTCTTGGATTGCTGGCTCCGAGTCGTACAGGTCAAACACTCTCAACACAGCCTCCCTCCACACAAGTGGTATGACTGTGCAGGTCTTTGATCTCTTGTAGCCCTCGTAGAGTTTGTAGGCGTGGCATCCCCAGAGCTTCGGATTCCTTGGCTGCAGGCCCGGCTGGATCTGAGAGGTAACAAACCTCATAGGGAAAATCCTATTTCCCAAAACGCAAAATGTAGGAAGTGTTAAAACATTTCTCATACTGGCTGATAATACTGGAGGTCCAGCTGATGGACCAGGATACCCTCTATTACGGAGGCCTAGGCTCACATCCACACAGGGGGGAAGGGTTCTTATGAAGTGGACATTATTCTACCATGCAAAAAAATCATGATGGTGAGATGGACCACAGACAACTTGTGCTGTGCTGAAAATGCACCCTCCCTTGCTTCAAACACCTGCGCTTTGTCAGTACCCTATGTGAGACAGCTCCGAAGCATACCATCTAAACCGGATCTTGAATGTTTGCCTACCTGCAAACATCGCCCCATGTCGTCCAGGAGCTCAAGCCTGTAGCGGATCTGATCCGCATCCATCAGCCGTGGAGCGAAGCGCTTCCTCTTGCCACCCTCACCTTCGTTAAGTGCTGAAGGAGCCATGAATTCTAACCTGGTTTATACTGAGGGAAATTGGGTTGCGCTGCCTACACGACATAGTTAAAGTTATGAGTACGCTGAGTACAGTCACGTAAAAGCATGATGCTAGGAGGCGGATTCAGAAGTCCATGAAACCATTTCTTTCAATTACTATGGACGTCAGTGGTCCTATCTGATTGATACTGTTTCGCTTCGAAAGGGATCGTCATTTGCAAGCTCCCCTCGGGACTTCTAAACCCTAAACCCAACAAGGACATGGTCCTAGGCCCGCCCACTTGGAAACTCTCCTGCTTCAGGGTTGATGAGCCCACGCTGTTATGCACACGTGAGCCGCAGCGGCTAGCTACTGTATGACTACTGTTCTTGCATGCGACTAATGACACCAGATAGGGCGATGACTCTGAAATTAATTTCCAAGACGAGGAGAAGGTTGGCCCCTGCCAGGGCGGGGCGGCACAATCTGTCCTGCACGAATGAACTGCATCAGGCAACAGGTTTCAGCTCGCCTGGGCGCTGCCCCGCTCGCCCACGAAATACCTGCAACCTGTACTCGCCCTCACAGGCGCTAAGCCAAATGCCCTACCACTAGAATCACTAGAAACATCCCAAAGTCCAGGGACCCGGAGGATAGCCGTGGCTGTAGAAGTTCACCTGCAAAGCTGAAGGACGTCTTTCAAACCGCAGTCAACATCGAGATCCTGCTGGGCAAAAATGATTTTACTCTCCCTGTTGGGAATGACTCCTAAGGGCGGTTCGAAATCCATCTTTTGATTTCGAAGTCACAACTTCTGAATGTCCCGCACAGCTGCAAGATCTTTTGTGGATTGGCCCGACCTTTATGCTCGGAATCAAGTCTTCAGGACTCTACAGACAAGATCGTGGCTGCCAAGAAGGGAGGGACTCCACAAGTCATACTCCAAACACGGGGAGCTCAACAAAGCAGATCCAACCAAGACAAGAATTCTGGGAAACTCCCAGGAGGAGTAAAACACCGCAGACAGTGCCGGTGCTAAGCGAAAGAAATGTGCCTGAATTTTGCACAACTATTGGCTTTACAAGAACCTTTTTGTTCATATCCAGGGCAACAGCGCCCAGCTGGAGCTCTGTAGTTGTTGAGGGGGCTGTGCCGGACAAAGTTGATACGGCATTTGAAGGGCGCAGCCAGATTGACACCTGGCACAAGACTGGTATGGATTAATGAGCTCCCTCTCTCCAGAGTAGTGTCCTGCAACAAACGCCAGCACTCTTGCTTCAAACAGTCCTAAGTCTCCGGGCCCACTTACGCTGTTTAAGCCATGATTGTGTTGCATCGCGCGTCGTCGCCTCCATGGTCTTCTTGTCCCGTCTCCTCTTGGGAGGACCGATCAGCTGTGGGAACATCCTCAGGCGTAAGGCTTTGTGCCAGGATGTGTTGGGTTGTGGACCTGTGGAGTGGGCAGTCTCGCTTCGGCACTCACTATGCCTGCTTTCATGGATTCTTAATCATCCGGCCATGTCTGTCCTATACATCTTCAATGCATCTTGGCTGCATGCGTAAAGATGTGTAAAGTAGAGCCGGGCAAGCTACCTTCCCAGAGGGCCAATCAGGCAAGGCTCTTGTGGAGCTCCATGGCACCCCAGCGCTCCTCCTGTGCCAAGGACGTGCATGGGAGCAGCAAACCACTTCGTTGGTGTCATCCAGCCATCTGTATAGAGTATTAGTATAGAGACAAGGCATGACGCCAAAGTACAAACCCTCCAAGGCAGTACCTGCTTGAGAGCATCTCACTTTAAATCTCAAGGTCTGGCAGCGCACTGAAGGAAAACCACAATTCCATTTGCTCCAGAGACTGCGCCCTACTGCCAGCAAATATAGCTAACTGCGGCCTTCACCTGGAGCATCCGTCTTGAGCATGGGGGTGCATACTCTTACTTTTCATGACCTCGAATGGTCCGGCAAGCCCCAGCTTGGCCTTCTTCCGCGCTTCACTGCGCTGCTCGGCAGTGATGCGCTCCTTGTTTGCTGTTGAGAGCTCAGTGATTGCTTACCTCCTTACACTTCTGGAGACTGGTCGCGCTTTCGGCGCTGCACACTTCAAGAACTCCACAAATGCTATGGCATGCTTTTTGTCGCGCAGGCTTATGATCTTGTGGAATTTGATAACGACGCCTGATCAGTTTATTCGACAGCCTTGTCATCAAGTGCGTCACGCGAGTGTTTGTTTCTTGGGGTTTCGAGAGCCTTTGCTTGGTTGCCAACTCCAGTTAGAGGGGTTGATGTTGGCTCAGCTTGGTATAGGTGTTCAGAACACGCCAACAAACATGAACCACGCGAAGTTCAGTTTTTAACAAACACATCAGTCTTCCTTCTCTGACATACGAAGTTTAATGGCTTTGCAGGTTCGAGGTGCCAGATTGGACTGCCCGGACCCCAAGCCACCAATACGGAGCAGCGGTGTAAAAAAAGTTGCTCTCCAAAGCACAAGGATTACATACAACTACAAAAACTACAGGGCGAACAAGAGCAAACGACTCAACAAAACTGTCTACACCTTCACACCCTCAAGAACTTCTCCAAGGCTCCCCGCTCGCTTCGAACTTCTTTTGGAGTCCGCCTGAGAGACTTTGTCGTGCAAACGCGTTCTATGATGCGAGGTGCCCGAAGTCTTTGAGTGGCGACACTACTTAGATTGTTCTTGCGGCGTGAAGTGCTTTGCGTTGCAGGAGCAAATTCAAAAAACAACCACTGCTGCAGCAGATCATGCACAGCATGCGGTGCAGTTTTGTCTGAAAAGAGCGGCTGGCTCTTTACAACCCACCTGGAGGACTGTAATGCAAGGGGGTCCAGCAAAGCCTTCCAGTTAGCCTCAACCCCCTCGTGTTGTGCAGCACCGGCCTCGATTGAGATATGGACTCGTGATGCCGGCGTACATACCTGCAGGGGGCTGCAACCTATCATTGCCAGACTGACGCCAAATGAGGGGCTCATCCTCCCAAAGGACTTGCGAGACGTTTGCCAGCGTTTCTAGTCTGTCTTCTAGCTTGATGTGGCATGAAACCTTTCTCTATTGCCCTAGGTATGCTGGCATGCCCATGTCATACCTCAACAAGGTACATCGCGCAAAGTCCACGCCATGCCTGGTGCTGTCTGCATCATTAACGTCCTTCCTGGCTTCCTCCGACTGAGGCGTACATATTCGAGCATGCGCTGGAAACCATGCAAGCGGCAAACCAGCTGTGGTCAAAATCAGAAATCAGGCGGAAACATGCCGCACGAAGCTCCCTGTAATCGAACATGCAATTCATACTCAAACTTCCCACAGTCGCTGTAACTCCCTTGAGGGCCGAATTCCCCAGCTGCGAGCAGGTGGCGATATCGCAGCACGACGCCATCCTGGCAGGGATTGAAGGTCTGTGGCCGGGTGCGTGGCATTTGAAGTGAAACAGCCCAGAGGGTAGAACATCACAACAACTCGCCATCTTTTTGCCAAAAATTGCAAAAACAAAAGCAATTGCTCCGCACGTCCACCTTTGCATAGTGCCGCACAGCGAACTCGGAGTCTTCGGTCGCGTCAGTCAGGGTGCGGAAAAGCCCCTTGCCTGAAAGGCGCTTGAACTCAAGATGAGCAGATCTTGCCTCCCGTCAAAGCTGATTCCGAACTAAATAAGAGCACGAAGCTCACCATTTCTGCATTTCTTTCCGAGGAGCATTTCGGCCGGCTGATGTAGCCGTTGAGATAGCCGTTCACCAGACCATTTCGCTTGGAGAGACCATACACCTGACCCACTTGGAATTTTGAGACCCAAGGGGTAAGGTACTGATGGCCCGTAAGTGATCGCAAATTCATAAAGCTACAGCGACGGCATTCATGAGGTCTTGGTCCCATGCTTTGAGGCATTCCTCAAATCCAACCTTCCTGATGCTCATCAGAAGCGATTGCCAAACAAAGCCCCATCCCGCCTTCATGTGCCGAGCATTCTGCGATGTGGAAACTCCCCAAAGGTAGGCCTTGCAGTGGGCACTTCCAGCATGCAGGTGTTGTATGGGTATAACGGTATATCATGGACAACAGACCTCTCAGCGTACAACAAGAATCAAGCAAGGGCCCACAAAGAGCAATAATTCCTCCACTGGGTTTGCGGTATTGTTGTAGCTCACGGCATGCGGCCTTGTGCTGCTTCATCTGTCGATAGGCGTCATAGATGATCTTCTCCAGACCTGGGGTAACGGATGAGTGATCAGGGCCCATGCCCCGCCAAAGAGAAGCGCCAAAGGCCGCATTCCGCAAGTAACAGTTCAATTCACAAGTCAGACTCAAAGCTGATAGCGAAGGAACATGTAAAATCTTTGAACATTCCTGCTGCGCGGCGTGCAAGCTTCCTGACTCTAGAGGAGTCCGTGACCTCTGCATCTGGCAATGCTTGAGTGTCTAATTGGCTGGTGTAGATTTGCCCGGGCGAGTGTATCAGTTGTGAGGGGGTCGGCGCAAGGAATTGCAACCGCACCTGCGGGCTGTGACACCCTCAGTTCGAAGTTCGCATGCAGCAAGGCCAAGAATGTCACTGGATCTGCTTCCGGGCGGCTTCCAGGGGGCAGCGTGCGAAGCGTGCAGGGCGTCATACCTGCAAAACATGAAGATTCCATCTGAATTCAGTCATAGACTCTGAGACGGTTTGGTGCAGTCAAGCTGGGGTTGATTCCTCTCTTCTTCCTCAGCTATAGAATTAGAAGGAATTTGGCTGTTTTCAAAGCGATGGAGAAAAACCTGCACTTTGCAATCAATCAGGGAGTGTGAGGATCGTAGAGGATGGCCTTTTCCACGCAAAAGCTACAACCCTGTGGCCGCCACATTTTTATGCAGGGCACCCTCGCGAATCTTCCAGCTGATTCTCTCGACATCATCATCTATGCCTTGGGCAGATGTTAACTGGGACTTGATCCTGGTCGACACTGGCTGACAGCTGGACATCTGCTTTCCATGCATGCTGTTATTTGTAAGCGTGGAGCAACAGCTTGGCCTTAGCCTGATCTCTGGCAAGGAGCTAACGACGTAAGTTCCGGCCGGAAAGAACCTCATAATGAAGTTGCGAGACTCCTCCAAAGAGAGGTATCGCATGATTGAATGCTGCCACTATCGCTGTTCTTGATCCTATTGCTCGCGACGACTACAGTCAGCATGCCTATACTTGCCTACTCCAACACTTTAATTGCGTTTGACTGCTACCGCAAACACGGCTCCACAAGATGCAGCCCATGGGCTGCATGGTCTGCAGCTGTATCTCTGACTGGCAACAAGCATCGTGTCCTTGTTGCCCTTAACGGAGAGCTCAATGCGCACATTCTCCCACTCGCTGCCAGCCAAGGCCTCGCGATAACTCTTCCTGTCAAGGGCATGCAGCAGAGCCATGACATGCGGAGGCAGGATTGCTGGATTCAGAAGATTGCCTATGCACAAAGCTTCTCAGCACCTGTCTCCAGCTCAACTAAGAACGGCCCCTGAGCAATGGGAGCGTACTGCAAGTACCAGGCTTTGAGACAATTGGCTGTGCTCAGCAAGCGTCTGCTTTTGAGATTGCGGTCCTTTCCGACTCGTTGGCCACAAACAGGGTCACCCGATGCTTTGGAATGCGCTGTCTGGACAGCATCGCCAAGGTGTGCACCAAGATGAAGGCAGACTTGCATCCTTTGAACCTTGGCGTCAGCAGCGCCAGCGGCAGTACATCCAAGTCCCAGCTGCCAAACAAGACTTGAAGCATCAAACCTCACCTCTCAAATCCAATCTATGATGACATCTTCGGCTCATGTCTGTTCAAATCAAGGTGAGCAACCCTCGGACTCCAAAATCCTACTACAAGGGTCCACAAAACTCAAAGAGCCATAATCCTGCCTCTTCTTGTTGCTCATCTGGCACACTGGCATCCATCTTTGGTATGTCGGGATCACCAGCTGATACCTTAACTCTTGAACCTAGCTGGTTCTCTTGTCTGAGATCAGGGACCAACTCGTTATGAGTCATGGCGGTACTACAATAGCACCGCTAGGTAGACACAAGCAAAACAAACGGTGCCTTCACCAGGATCGCTGGGCCATCCACATGCGTTCACTGGAAAAAATCCACAAGGCTTTTCACAAGATTCTTGCGCACACCACTTTGTTGCACTCCGAGTCACGGAACCGACCGAGCCTCAGGTGTGACTCTGGCTACTGTACGATCTCGTGCGGAATTGTTGCTGATGCTTTTTTGCTAGCACCTACATGCCATGCCACGTGAGACGTGGCATCAGTAAACTGGGGCTTAAGCACACTGGGCTTTGTAACCAAGGCAGTACTTGATTCCCGGGCCTCTGCATACGGAATGACAGAATTACATTTCATGCAGCAGTCTTCGTCAGGGCCTTGATCTTGCCTCCCACATGCGGGGCGGGGAGCCTGAATCACAACCCTCCAACACTGAATCATCAAAAGTAAAGACCTTCAGCAAAGTTGATTGAACCTGGTGTCCTTCTGTAGCCCCAAAAAGCCACAAAAGCTTGACGCTCAAATCAGTCAAACCTCAACGAGCACGTCACACCAAAATTGGCATTTTCAAGGTTGGGCCCGCATCCTTAAAGAGCCCCATGACACCTAAACCCACGTTCATGCTGCCCGAGCTTTATATACATGTATACCCAAGTTAGAATACTCAAGTTAGAATTCCATAAATTCGACTCACAGTTTGAGAAGCTTTGCACACTCCACACATACACAAACCCTAACCCTAACCCAAAACCGAAAACCCACATCCAGAATCGGACCCGGCAGCTTTGGTCACCAAGTGGGGGGCCTGCCGAGCCTTGGGGTCAAGCTCCTGTGGCCGCCACAGCTACCACAGGTTACAGAGAGTGAATGCATATGGTATAGGTTTAGGGTTTAGGATTGGGGTTTATGTTGGGATGATGCATATCCAGATCTTTGAGGGATCCGCGGAGAATAAGGATCTCGATAGTGTTGGAGGCTACATCGTTGGCAACCATAAATGCGCATCGAGGGGTCACAGAACCCAATGGAGCCTTGCGCCAGTGCTCAATGTGAAGCGCAAGACTTGTCAAAGCGGATACTCAAATCTGAAAGGCTTTAGAAAACTCTTTGCGGAAAACCGCTATGATGTCGTCTTGAAATCTACGGCAAGGTTCGTGATGCACTCTCGATACTTCCGGATATCACCACGTGTATCGAGCAGCCCCAAGAGAACACGACTCAAGAGCTCTATCTCAACTGCAGCGTACCCACAAAACAAGAGTACTAGGCAATGCTAAGTGGAAGTCTGCTGGGACGCCACAATCACAAATGAGGGATTGGGAGCCACTTTAAGGGTGTAGCCCCGTGGAAGGGGCAGGGGCTGCAGCAGATGGATATGAAGATGGGAAAGCTGCTCAACAGCTACAAGCTGAACAAGGCAGCAAATGTGTAATTCCGTTCCGCTCCTGGGTTGTCGCCCCTTCCAGCTTCATGAGCCGCTCCTCCCACTTCCTGATGTGGCTGTGCAGGTGGCTATGGGAGTTGAGGGTTTGGCTCTTATCCACAACAATTCCTAGGGCTAAGGTGGTTATACCAATGAGCCAAGGATATTGGCACACTTGCACAGAAACCTTGACAACTTTTCATGGCAACCTGCTCGCTATGATTGAAAATAGACCCTTCCGTGTCAAGGTGATGCAAGGAACACGATGGCTTATGAATTATTTCGGTCAAGCCTTGTCGCTGCGGTGACCCTAGTATCTTTCACGATGACGGGTCCACCCTGCATTCTTGTGAGGAAGAATGCCGGATCCCTCTCGCATTGGTTCCAGGCGTCTCCAGCTCGTCATCGTCGCTGTCTTCGTCATCTGTCGACCTTAGGCGCAAAGCTCGCGAGGTCGGGCTCATCTTTTGGGTCAAGCGGGGGGACCAGCATTGAAGATCTGCCGGTTAGAGACGGAAGAACCATAGGCAACAAGGCCTGATACCTGAAATCCTGCCAAGGGTCTGTTGACTTCCTTATCATAGCTGCCAAGGTCTTTTGAGCGATGATCATTTAACACCGGGGACAGCAAAAGGACTCCTGCCTCCCAGCCCTGTAGTCTGTTGTCGCACTAGCCAGGTTCAACGTTTTGCGCCTGCAGCCACATGATCCTTGACATACTTGCGGCGCACGCCCCAAATCTCTACAATTGCAGATCAGAGGCGTAGCCCTGGTGTACCCACACTTTAGCCGCATCGGTGGAGTTCAACCCCTAAACCCTAACCAACCCTTTGGGCTGCCGACTCCTCATCGCTCTCTTCCTCCTCGTCACGGCGTGGTGCCGGCGGCTTCCTGGCCACGGCCCTGCCGTCAGCCGGTGCCATCATATGGATCTAAACTTAACTACTTCAATAGCATTATAACATGAAGTTCTGAAAAATGCTGGCAATGGGGATCAGAGCTGGTACCTCCAATGCCAACCAAACCTAGGGGGCTGCATGAGAGCTTCTTCATCCCGGGCCGTCAGTGTCTGACTACATCCCTTGCCGTAAGGTGCTCGGGTAAGTGCCAGCCTTACCTGGTGAATACCAACCCTTCAGTCCAGACCAACACAGGGCTCAGGGCTTGTTTGCCTCCTGGGGGCGGACCGGCTTCCCTGGCGCTTCGCCGGCTTCCGAGCTCCCGATGCTGCCCGCCTCGTACGTAGGAAGAACACCGCAAAATCATGACCAATCTTTCTAAAAGGCGCTCAGCGGGATCTCTGGACTTGCTAACTATGGTCAAAAACGCTACAGCTGTTGCAATGGACTGATCCTTACAAATCATCACATACGCTTTCAGGTTCATGCTGGCCTCTTTGCTGGTCGGCTTTGCTTTCGGCGCACCCGCGCCCGCGCACGCGCCACCATAGCCGCAGAAGCCATCTTTGTGGCAGCAAGTCTTCCTGTTTCTATATTCCAACTTCGCAAAGACAGAAGTTCAAAAATGACTTCAGAGTTGCTTTGCGGTCGCAGTGCAACGATGAGCCACACAACTTTCAGCCTACCCCAACAGTTGCATTTGTCACCTCTGCTTTGCAGCCAGGTCACAGCGCGGCAGTGCACAGGCAGGCGACAACCATGGAAATGGAGTGATCGCCATCATGATACGATCTACCCATGCAGCAGCATTGTTCTAGTTGTTCTAGAATAGCCTTGAACAGGGATAATAATGGACGTTTCGCACGTACTACATGTGGGCACAGCCAGGCTCTGAGTTCCTGCCAGTGCCAAGCAGCCTCCAGTCAGGAATCAGCAGCTTCGCTGGGCGGGTGATCCTAAACAGGGGTCGCTGCTTGGGCTCCCCCAGCAGTGTCGACATGGATGTGGTCAATGCCCTTGTGTCGCGCTGTGTACTTGCTCTGCTGCTCCGTGGCGGGCTCACGTGTCAGACCTGTTGGGCCACACCTCCGGCAAACACTTCCTAAAAAACTTGTCATGTCCTGTCAGCCAGCGATCTGCGCTGCCCGACTTCCCCACTGTCGTAGCTTCCGAGTTCACCGTCTGTATTCCTTGCAGGCACGAGTGCAACAAATCCCGTTATCCCTCCCAACATGCAACGCAAGCAAAAGGTAGCATGCATGACGCCAACACACAAAAGACATGCATGCCTCACCCGCAGAGCTCCACATCACCCCTTTTCACCTGCTTGCATTCCCTTTTGTCCCGTGTAGTGTACCCGGTGTGTGCGTTTGTGAGGGGTAGGTCTGCATAGAAGGCGGTAGCAAAACACAATGACACAACTCCACGACGCGCCCTGCGCTTTGCAGCGCAGCTACATCAACCCATCTTTGTACTTTCAACGTTTTCAATCCATACTTTTGGTACACTGCTTCAGATTTTGTGGAGCGTTTGGCTGCGGCGAGTTTCGAAGAAATTCCTTGATAATCTCCGCAGTACAATGGACCATTTTGGGCGTGTATACAACAAGGATGCTTGCAAGAACAGGCGTGTTTTGGAAAACATCGAATCCTACCTCGGTGTTACCCAGTTCAATGCCAGGAGTCTCAGGAATGGTCGCCTTGGCCTCCGCAAACAACTCGGTCAACGATCCTTGCCCGTGTATTATACTTGAGAGATCTGTTGCTAGTACGCGAGCGACTCGTGTGTTGCAATTGCCCGCGCAACTACATGCTGAAAAGAGCAGTCATTTGCACTTCAGCCGATTGGCTGCAAGACTCTGAGAAGTGCACAGGTCCTACAGAGCATGATAATTCAAAGTTCCTTGAAACAGATCCTTGAAGTGCATCCGGATTGCAAACATCACGTCAATCCTCTGAAGCGCCTTCTGAGGTCACGGAACCCATTGACATACATTGGCAGAAATACTTCGGCGCATGCCGCAACCTGTCTGTCTAGCTGCCAGCCAAGTTTCGCTTCGAGTCCGAAAGGGGAAGCACTGGCTCCGTCCTTGGCATTGTACTCACTTCGCGTGCAGCTTGCTTGGCCAGCTTGTCTCCTAATCACCAAACTCAACCAGGGCAGGCCCTGCATCCCCAAATCTTGCATGTTGACACCTTGAGCATGCGGCCTAAATGAGCCAGCGAGGTGCAGATGGTGCAGAACACGCCCAAGCAGTGTCACTATATCTTCTGAAGCTGAAGGGTTTGCAAAGCTTGGTTGGATTTTGTTGGTGCTGCAGATGCTTGCGCCCATAACCAAAGAAACATGCTGATTAGACTTCATCTCGAAACTTTGTAGCACATGTCGCACGTGTGCGAAACCAAACTGATGCACTGTGGCTTTGGTATGGCGCGTCTTTTCTTGATTCGCGATGCTAGGCTGCGTGGCCCCACTTTGGGATGATGAGGGTTCTTTGCCACTCAGCTCATAGCCTCACAGTCTCGCTTTCTGTGGCGGTGGAAAGTCGGTTGCGGCTTGGAACCTCTGCCAGGTGAGCCCGGAATGCAGCCCAAAGAGTGTGCTGCAACATCTCCGGTCCACATGTAATACTGCACGCTGTCACGGGCTCTCGCAAGCACTCGAGTTCTGAAAAACGAGGGCTATGAAGAAGCAAGAGAGGTAGACTTCTGTGCTTTATTTTGCTCTACGGCCACGTCTGCCGTAGGTGCTATTCGAAGTGCTCGCTGCATGATTTTCAGTTGTGCTGATTCAACGTTACAAGAGATGGGGAAACTCGACAGCTCAAGCAATTCAGGCTGCTCAGCCAGCCCGCCCCTCCAAATGCACCATCCATGTCATCATTGCAAAACAACTTGCAACAGGAACAGGGCAGCTCAGTTGCCGCTCTTCCCATGCATAGTGCTCGTCGAAGCCCACCTCATTTCTTGTTTTGACCCACTTTCGTCTTGGCGCCAAGTACTAGCAGATCAGATATACATTCATAGTCTCCCCAAATGAACATCCCGTCTCGGACCTCGCCAACATTCCTGAGGAAGTTTATATCTGACATATGTATATATATATACACCCTACAAACTGTCGTAAAGATCCTACTGTCCATCATGTGCTAGATGCAAGCGCAGTTTGACATTGAAAGTGGCTTGTGGCGCATCTCATACATTGTCCCTCTGGATTGGCGTCTGTGTGTATGTACATGCGTGTGTAGGTCTATACATGTATTGATTGAAAAACAAGAAACACACATACATCAAATCCCCCATTAAGGCATATGTGCACATATGTTTGAAACATTTATAAACATATATGTATGTATCTATGTATACACATATTCATGTGCGCACACACACAAGCACTTGTTCATCTTTATGCACCTCTCATAACTGAATCCCTTGCTGTCTCTTGGACCAAACTTTGAGCCTCGCTGTAGAGCTCTGTGAAGGTCAGTCGGTCATGCTCCTGCAGCTGAGCTTCTCAATTCTGATTATTTGCCATGCGTTGAGGAACGAAGCGGCTTCTAATTCAGGCAATCAGGTCTACACTTGTTGCTGTGTGGAAGTTTGTATGCTTTTTTCTCAACCAGCGCAACCCGTGAAGCGTGCTTCAGCATCTGTATTATTAACAACTAACCTTCAAGCTTTAACCGACATGCCACAAAAGCTCGAGAAGCGTGCATCAAGCTGCTCAAATTGGGGAGCAGGTGGTTTCGTTTCTCAAGAACAACGACGGCTTCCAGCTGCCCATAAACCTCCAAAATCCTGGACAGCGCCCGCCCCAATTCCAACCAACTCTCTATTCAGAGTAATAGTAATAAGAGCAATAATGAAATGAAACACACTAGAAATATTAACAATAGCAATAATAAACTTATCTGAAGACCGAATCCTAAGACCGGAGCTCACCTCAGGGTGCTGGCCATCCTTCAGCTTTGTGAGACTCCGCTTCATGGCCTCATCTTCTGGTTAAAGCGGGTACCTTGAAAGGGATTTATAGGGGTTACATATAGGGGTATATACAGGGTTTGGGGTTTAGGGGTTTCCCAAAATTTGGGGTACCCTTTTGGGGGTCCCCATATACTGAGGATTGTAATATATTGGTGTATATACGTCTATATTGGGGTCCCCCTGTTTTGGGAAACTACCTTCTGGCAAAGGCCCATGAGATGAAGGGAATGACATCCAGGTCTACCTTGGTACAGGGGGGATATGGGGATTATATTAGGATAATGGAAAAGAAAATGGAAACTACAATTTAGGATTTAGGGTCTAGGAGTTGGGGTTTAGGGTTTCCCTAAAACAGGTAAGCTTAGATGTGATGATTGCAGAAACTCTCTCAGTGTTAGTGCAGCCTGCGAGCGCACATTGCAACATTGAGCACAGTGAGGCCCAGCAGGCTCATGGCAAAGCCGAGCTGTGAAGCCTCCTGGACCTCAGGGGATGTCTGACAAGACGCGAGGAAATAGGTATTCTGCTCAGGGATGATAGGGGAATGTTGTTGGGAGAGCCTGGCAGGTTTTGAAAATCACCTGTTTTTCTGGTTGCCTCTGGTGGGTAGGTTTCTAGCCGTCTATGCAATGCCAAACACCGGGGGGCTGCATGCCAAAACGTTCAGCGCAGTGGCAACCAACTTGTGATGACCCTGGATATAGCCCAGGCTTGAAAACTTGTGTGTTGCAAGCGACCACACTCTGGCTATGGATTGCCGTTGCATCTTGTAGTCCCCAAAAGGCGGTGCAAGGTGCAGTGATCAGAGCGACATCCGGCTTCTCCACCTCTCCAGCTGCCAAAGCTCAACAAAATCGCCTGATATCATTGATGCCGAAAAAATGCTACTGAGCGCTTTCTGAACAATTATGCGTCTATAGAGTTGGATCTCAAGTCTTCTCAGCTGTGCCTTGTACGGAGCACAATGCCTGCCATCAACAGGCTCCAACTCCAAAGCTAGCAGTCATCACTCATCACAATGCCATCCAGTGCCTGTGCCAGCATCGTCGGGACCCACAGCTCCGAGTTCAGCGTCGCCATCTCAGCCCTGTCCGATAAACCTTCAGCATAGACCTCAGATCAGCTCCGAAGGCTCCAAGGGATCATACTGTCGCAATAATTGAACTCAAAAGCATCTCGATCTCTATCAAACTCTATCAGCAGCAATCCCAGCCTGGCTCCGAGGAGGCTTTATGCTTACCATCTCTCAGCACAAAGTTCAAGCCCGCCACCACATCAGCCCCGAGTTCGGCGAAAGCTCGACACCTTCCCGCACACTTGCGTCAAAGGTTTACAGGGCTACAGGCATTGCAACCCTTGGATCTTCACGGCAACCGGTTAGGCCGTTCATCCGTGCTCTTGAGTAATAAGACCCCTTACATTCAAAGAAAATTCTTCGGGCCAAATCAGGGGGTCAAAGACAACTTTAAAGGCGGAGGCAGGTTTTGGGCTGAAACCGACCCTGGATTTAAAGAAAATTCTCCAAACCCTAAGAAAATAAGGGTCCGATTTCAATAGGTTCAAATGGATTTTAATTGAAGTTATATTGATTTTGCTTGGACTCCAATCGGGGTTCCGTGGACGTCATTTGCAATTGAAATCTGCTTCTGGCAACTGGGGCCCCTGAAATAATGAGGCTTTTCTGTTAAAAAAAGGGGGCCCGGGGCGCCCTTATTAATCAAGAGCACGGATTAGGGCTTGCTTCCAAACTCAAAACTTGAGGTTCGTCGCTTTTCCTAATTCCTCTTGCATGGCCGTTGATTCGGAATTGACGGTTCTACGCGCCCTTAACTTTGAACCCATCGGACTTCAACTTCAGACCAAGACAGTTGGCACGAAGCAACACGCCCTGTCACCTTATCGACGACCAGAGTTTGCAAAATCTGCAACCATCATTCCGCAAAAATTAGCAATGCAAAAAAACAATCTGTCATCATGGAGAGCAACAGGAGCCTTTCTCTGGGGGGCTTCCCACAATTAGGGGTACCTTGAAAGGGGATATAGGGGTTGGGGTTGTGTTGGGGGTCATCTCCTAGGGCTCGTATCAGTTCTTCATAGCTGGAGTTGCATCGAACTAGTAGGAAGGGGCAGCTGAGGATGCGCGGCCTGTAATGCCACAGGTCTCACAGGCTCCCGCAGAAAGGCACAAAAGCAATGCAACACAACATTAACAATCGGACACCAGTAAACCTAAAACTACAGCTAGGAGAACTGCAAGTGCACATTGCTGACGCTGCCTTGCCAAAGCTTCTTCGAAGCCACCGCACACAGCAGCATTTCGGCAGTCCGTCCTTGCGGTTTTTGCAACATAGATTGATGAGATGTACTCCAAAAGATGCATGGATGTTGCCCATGTCAGGACTTCGATTTGGCAGACATTTGATGGGTAATCACCTCCCTTCAGACTTCAACATGAAGCCTCGCTCCCCCCTGCCGTCCCCCCCCCCTCCCCCCCCCGAATATTCAACAATGAGTCCAATGCCTAAACATCCTGAAGAGCACCTTCAACAGGGCAAGATTACTCTTAGGGGCCACCTGGTCATGAATTACAATCGGGAATCCAAAGTGAGTGGGGTTCCCCTGGTTTCCCAGGTCGTGAGTGTTTTTGTCTTTCATAAAGAGCCTCAGAAAATGTTAAAATGCCGTTGTTGATCGATTTCGATTGATTTTTCCTTTTGATTTCTAGTAAATTTGCATAAGTTGCACCTCGAATTTAAATCGATCTTGTTTGGGCTTAGATAGAGCGATGCTAATAAGATTCCGACTATGTTTTGAACTGATATCCCTCAGATTCTACTCAGAGATTTCAATTGCTTTTCGAACTGATTTCAAGCCTATTTCTCAAGTTGATGTAATTTCAATTGATTTTCCTTTGGCTTACTAAATTTACACTGATTGAAAACTGGTTGTAATTTCATTTTACACAGGTTCTAAGTAGATGTTAAACTCATCTGAGTTAACTTTGAGTTAGGTTCCAATTGATATTAGTGGATTCCAATCAGGCTTCATTTGATGTTAGCTAGATTTCAATTTGATTTCAACCGACTTTAATTTGACTTGACCTAGATTTTAACTAGGTTTCAACCGATTCTAATCACATGATATCAAAATGGTAATTGGATGGTAGCTAGATGTCAAATTGATTTCAACCGACTTTACTCGGATTCGAACCAGATTAGTAATTAGGTTTCAAGCGGTTCTAATTAGATTTTGAATGGATTGTAGCTAGACTGCAATGGATTTTTGGTATTAATAGATCAAGAAGAAACTACTTTCTCTTTCGAAAATAAATTTCAATGCGCGTTGTTTAGCTAGATTGCACATGTTTTCTTAATCTGACGAAGAGGAGATTGAAGGGATTCTTTAGAGGCAGACCCATCTAGTTCTTTCAATCGATATCCCCCCCTAAGATATTACACAATTTTCGGGGCACGGAGTATTTGATATTAGGAGGGGTACTTCAAGAGTAGGGGGAAGCGATTGCTGTCCAGCACGTTTAGAGCTTCCGTCAGCCGAATGTCCTTCCAACGATCACAATGTCCAAGCCTCGTCAAGCAGGAGAGAACTTCACCAGCATCCTTTAATTACCTTTAGACTCTGCAAGCCTGCAACTGCTAATCAGACTTGAATGGATCTCATGCACTTGAAAAGTCATGCCCTCCGCCCAGAAATTTCCTGAACCTTAAACATCTCCTCAAGTTTCCCAAGGCCCGGAAAAGAGCGCAGGATCCTACCTATCTCAATGCGGATGTCATGATGTCCACTTGCGCCCTAGCCAAGTCTTTCAAGGAGCCCTCAACTCGGACGATAATGGTAAAAGTGTAAGATAGCTAGCATACACCCGCAACGTCTCACCTACGGATCTGCCTTCCTTTTCCAGCTCCGCCCGCGCTGCCAGCGCTGCCCGCAGCCTTTGGATGGCCTTAACTTTGGCATACCAGGTAAGGATTGAGGGCTGTGGGTGTGAGCGCGCACTGTGAAAGATGCTGGGTGTACGGATTCATTGGGTTTGGGCTCACGCTTCGATCAGAAGAAATTTACATGCTGGCCATCATATGGTACTGACTTTGCTCGTCATGACTATATATAATCAGCTTATAGTGCTTGCAGATCATCTTGACACTCGCAGTGATTTTGTGGTTGCTATCTCTTCTTGGAATAGCGGCGCAACGTTCTCAATCAGCACGTCTTGCTTGATCTCTGGTACTTGGAGGGGCAGTCTGGTGCTTTTGGGGTCCACAAGCAATGACTTGTCTGAAGCAACGTGCCCAAATTTTGAATATCTTCAATTCACAGAGGCCCAACCTAAAATAATTCCAACCCCTCACCCCATCCCAAAGGTACCTCCTCGCGGTCAACGACAGCCAGGCCCTGTCAGCTGACTTGTAGCTTAAGAGGGACAGGGTGCGGTTCACATCAAGGTCACCCTGCGCTTCCTCCAATCCAAATCTGTGCTATGCTTCTTCTGTGTCCATGGCATGATCTAGCAAAGGATGGCACAAACCCCCGCTGGCCGTTCTTTTGACTCCGCATTGGTCAAATCCTCAGGAGGCCTACAGCTGCAGTGGAAATCTCCCGCGGGGGAAAGCCCAACATGCCTTCGCATGAGCGCATCTCTTTGGATAGCACTGGTCCTCGATGGTGATGCCCGCGAACCCTGCCGTCTTCAAAGACAGGATCTGCAGCAGCGATGTTCATGGATCGAGCATGCAGCGGCGCCAGGAAGGGTCCGTACCCTTGCTTACACCCCAAGTGAGCCCCTTGCGAAATCCGCCCTTTTTTGCACGCATGCTGTCAGCAAGAATTGAGGTATCCACTTAAGCAGCTCGCAGCTTAAGCTAGAGCTTCTGAAGCACAACGCACCTGCGGCCGCATACCCTCGAACTGTTCGGCGGATGTTGCTGCTGCCGCCAAAGCCTGTGTCCCCGTCGCCAATGACGCACCTTGGACGCGCACTGCGAAATGCTTTCAGTGCTTGGTTAGATTTTTTGTTTTATGATTTTTCCGTGGCCTGCAGCATTGACACGAGATATTCAAGGCCCTAGACACCCCCAGTCTGGTACACATGCAAATAAGTAGCTTAATTAACCTAACCCGACATCAGGTTCAAACCTTTCAGGCCCATCTCCGTCTGTTCGCTGCGTGGGCAAGTAGCATGTCAGGCCCGACGGCTGCGCAAATGTTGCGGCCGACCTGCACCTGGTTTTCAGGGATGAGCCTAGTGAGAGAATCTGTACGCATGAGCTCTTCCTACAAAAGGGCACTCGAATCTTTCAAAGGCAGCCTCAAACTTTCCCGACCAACGTTCCAGATGGATAGGCTCGACTCTACTTGCTACTGGCTACCTGCTCGGCGTAGGAGATGAGGCCCATGTCCGGATCTGAGTTGAGTTGCCACATGCACTGACAAATAGCATCCCTTCAGAAGCACTAGCGAACTTGTGAATATGTAGTGTAAATTCGCAACCGCCTCTCTTGGAAGGGCTGCACGGAAAGAGGCCCTTGCGGGCATCGTCAGGAGGAGACTCTTTAGCTTACGATACGCCTGCATGATGCGGGAGGCCACGACAGATTTGCAGCCTGGAAGCAAGCCAGCTGAGTCGCACTGACAGCAAAGCCACTCATGAAGCAAATGGGAAACCCGGCTCGCTTGATGAGCACCTCCATGTGCTTCAAACTTAGGAATTCTGCAGGGAGTCATGCGGGTAATACATGTCTGTTTTGCGCTCCAACAGCACTGGAGCTGTGGGAGACCGACGCTCAGCGGCGCAGCTAATCTATCATGTTTTCGTAGGCTACGGCACGAATAACGTTTCACAAATTGCTGCGTAGAAATGTCTTAAAATCATTCATGGCTCAGTCTTGCAGATCTTTGGAGCAGCCATGAACCACATGGAGCACCATCAGAGCACGTAGTCTCAATTGTCTGCATTCAACACCACTGAGAACCCCAACAGAAATCTCATGCCACATTGTGCATCCCTCCTGAGTGGCCAAGAAACCAGACGGATAAATCCTATATCAGATGACCCCACCAGGCACAGCCGACAGTGCGTCGTGGCACGCTGGGAGAAGGTGGCAGCAGCGCTGGTAGCGTGCCTCGCCCACAGCGTAGATTCAGCAGATGATTTTTTGTAGGAATTTTGAAGCTTGGCAGTGAGAATATAACTTAAAACAACTTTCATTCTCTCAATTCGGGTGCTGTGAGAGAACGTCGATGAAGGATTCAGACTTACCTTCTTGAGGCCAGTCATGAACTGGGCAAGCCGCCTTCATGGCAGGGCACTATGGTGGGGGCATCCCACCCCGTCTGTGCCTTTTTCTGTCGGAAGGAAACATGACGGTGGCATCGAGGGAGAATGTGGTCACTCATGATGAGGCCAGAATCTTCTTATTGGGGGGGGCCTTGTGGAGCCAGGAATCGCCATACCTACTTGGGGACTGCATGCCGCGCCTCTGCTAAGAGCTGTCGCAGTCGCGCCGCTGGCGGCAGCCCAGTGGTCGTACGTGCCGCCATGATGGGGGGATATACGATATGAGGGTGAGGGTACACAAAGTGGATCAGACTGCCATGCTTCAGCTACTTAATCTGGGAAGCATAGCTTGACACGGTGTGGAGTCAATTGCAACAAGCGGCCAGCTGGCCAGATTCTTGGCTGTCATGATGTGTTTCAGTGTCATCTTGGTGAGGGGTCTGAGTTCTGGATGCTGGAGTCAAGCCAACAAGCTTGGTGCTGAGATGCTGCCGACACTCGAAGAGATGTGAGAAGCTAGTACTTAGCACATGCAGCTCCGTCTGCTGCTGGAATGCTCCTATGGGTATGAGCGTGCTCGTTAGGCAGGGATGCCATACACAGTCGGTCATGGCAGGGTCATAAAGCTTGTGCCAATGGCTCTAGCTGCTATAGATCTTGAATGGTTCTGCATGTCCTGCAAATGCTGCAAACGAGGCTCTTCGCAACAGCCCGTCCCACATGTGCCCCTATGCTAATCGCCAGAGCAAACTGCTCAACCTTTAGTAATCTGATTCTGGGATGCTGCAGGCCTTGGCTGAACTTTGGCTGAATGGCTGAACTCGTGCTTTGGCATCAAGTGCCCCGCGGCGAAGGTGAAGGATTTGGTGAAGGTGTCGGATGGACTTGCAGCCTGAGATGTTGCAGCTAGATGGCAGATCCACATATAGCTTTTTGCACAGCTTGGACCGGCTCGGAGCTGCAACCCCAAACAAGCCACATGCAGTCATATGCATGACAGTTTAAGGCTTCTGAATGTCGCCTAAAAGCTCCGTCTTG